TTATGTTGTTTGAGTATAGGTGGAACCTGCCATCTGATATTAGCTTGTTGTTTAGTTTGTCTACTTTTGAATGGCACACAAAAAGATGGAGAATTATGTGGAAGTGCATAAGAGCAGTTTTGTTGTTGACAGTTTGGGAAGAAAGGAACACCAGAATCTTTTGTGAAAAAGAAAGGAACTTCTCGGAAGTTAAAGAATGTATTCTGACAAGGGCAATTCAGTGGCTGAAAACTCTAAAGCTCTTTGATGCATACTCTTTTGATGACCTATAGAGAATCTGGTTAGCAGTGGCTAATACTTCTACCAGGAAGGACAGACATGGGGTTGAATGGATGCCACTAGGGGAGGAGTTTATCAAGCTGAACTTTGATGAAAGTAGCCGAGGAAATCCAGGACCTTCAGACATAGGAGGAGTGCTGAGAAACAAAGATAGTAGCATTATATCTTTGTACCCAGGTCCTGCAGGTGTAGGAGACTCCTTAAGGGCCGAATTACTTGCTGCTATACAAGGATTCTAGCTTGCAAACTAGCTAGGCATAGAGCATCTGATTATTGAAGGGGATTCCCAGGTGATAGTGGGTTGGCTGAAGGATTCAGACACTGTGATTTGGGGTTTTAGAGATATTCTCAAAAAGGTTAAATGGTTAACAAGGAATATGACAATCAGAGTTCAGTGGGTGGTAGGCAGATCAGCAAACACAATGGCTGATTCACTTGCAAAACAAGGGGTTCTCCGGGATACTTTATTTTGGGCTTCTGTGTAATTTCTTTTGTACTTATAATTCTGTAACTAGTTTTAAAGGAAATGTCGTATCTCACGCCTTTCCATGGGTTGCATGTAACTCTTATTTGCTGGTTTAATAAAATTTTACTCATTTATAAAAAAAAAACAGTCTCAGCTTTGTTAAAAAGGAAAAAAATGAGATCTGTGCGGGTTCGGGTTATAATTGCTTGAAATTACCCAGCTGGCACCTAATCTGAAGAAAGAAAAAAATCCAAAAAATAAAGAAAAAGGGGACCTCAAGTTTTCAATATTTAAAAATTTGCTCTTAACAGTCAAGTTCCCATTGAACCTTGGTATCAGTTAAACAAGACTTTGATTGCGTAGAGTTCAGTTATGTCAAGGTTTTAGGTCTTTCCTTTTATTGGATGCATAAAGGTTGCTGTCATATGCAAGTTATTCATAACAAAAGCAAGATTGAAGCCTAGTTACCCTCAGATGCTTGCTGAATTTTACTGTGACATCGAGTATGCTGTAGCGGGGTTGTTTTTGACTTGCCTCATGACAGCCTTGTTTTTCCCAATTCCATGCCTAGTCTAAGCACCTTTAGTGAACAATCCAAGATACACCCAGAGTTTTACCACTTGACCTGAATCTGCCTAATTTGAGATTTACAGTTCAAGGATTGCTTTAGTTGGTCACTTAGGCTTAAGAATACTGTTGTCTGAAATTCGAAACCCCCTGAGTAGATCCCAACCATTTGAACTGGTGGCTAGGTCTTATTGGCCTAGATGAAGATGTGGGCCTGGCCCTGAGGCTCGAGATGTTTAGGATGTAGTTTGTTTCCTGATAAAAGTATAATAAACATTTGTGGGGTGAACAGGAACAAAAGAAAGCAGGAAAGGACTAGTTTGTTTTTCTCCTAATTTAAATAATAATAACAAAAAAAAAGATATATGTATATATATACCCAAATAAGGAGTTTGTTTTGATTTGTTCTTGCTTGATTAACATCTTCTCATGAAATCCTTGATGTGAGGGGGGTAAAACTCTCATTAAAGTTTTAAGGGGCTGAACCTATGTTCTGAATAGCATTACGTATTACTCTATGCACATGAGAGTTTTAGGAGTCATTCTGGATCAGGTTTTATATCATCTAATGTTTGTATTCTTTGAATTTCGTTTTGCTAAAGTCAGCATGGACTATCTGCACCTTGGTTTTTAGGATTTGGATTCAATTTTGGTTTTGGACTAAAAAATAAAGATTATGATATGCTTGAGTAATTTTGGAAATTTTCAAAGATGATAATTCTGGTATGTTTGAGTGTCATATGGGAAATAATAATAGTGATCATGTTTCATTTGAATGATTAATTTCATCAAATTTGTAGTAAAAATGATCATGTTGTGATAAATTTTGTCATGGATGTGGTGTTTTTTACTTGAAAGGTTCCTATGTTAAGTGGTGATCTTGTAATTGATGGCTGATGTGATGGATTATGGGAGACCATTTTGGATATTGGTGATCATAGTTTTCAAGGCGTCAAGGTGAGGCTAGGCGATAGGGGGGCGCCTTGTCACCTAGTCGCCTAGGTGATGGATTTTTTAAGTAAAAACATGTATCCTAGGGTAGTTCCCTAGGTTCCATAATCATATTTTCTTAATAAATATCCATAATTTTCATAAGAAAAGTAAAACTTCATGTTAAAGTATAGAAAATCAACATATTCCAACATATTCATGAGAAGAAAAAGAAGAAATAAAAGAAAATTAAAAAAATATAGGGGCTGAACCCCTATTTCTGTTATAGGAAAAGAAGAAAAGAAAAGAGGAAAAGAAGAAATCAGTATATACACACACAAAATTAGTAAAGCAAAAGAAGAAAGTGTGTTGATTGGACGACATTTTATGTTCTTCCTTACTTATTGGTTCAGGTTTTGAAGTCTTTGAGGGTTCAATACAGCATTTAGCAATGTTTGTGTTGATTAAACCCTAACAAATAAAAAATTAATAAAAAGAAATTAGTATATAAACACACAAAATGAATATTTTAGTTTAAAATGTCTATTTTATAATTATAACCTTAAAAAATTAAGAATATAAAGGTTTTTTATAACACACTATAGAAAATTTCTTGGCAATTAGGCGAGGTGAGCCTCCAAGGGCGCCTTGCTGCCTAGGCATCGCCTTGACAACTATGTTGGTGATGGATGAAATGGATGAACAAATGCATATATTGGAGTGTTTTTTCTCTTTGCAGGTGACCTCACCCTTGAACCCACTCTCCCTAGAGGCTCATAACTACTGCAAACCACAAAGAAAAGAAAGAAAAAAAACAGCCTTGAATCTATGCATCATAGAAAACTATGGTGTTCAGTAGAAGATTGGAACATTACTTGGAAAAAGGCATTCATATTTTCTATGTATTTAAAGTCGTTCTTTTTATTTTATTTTATCTTGCTTTAATTTTTTACTTCATATTCCTTATTCTGCCATGAAAAAAATCTGATTCCTAATCATTATTGTCAATATTGTTTTTTTACCATCTTGATTTTTTTTTGTTTTTCATTGCATTAGCCAAAAAAAAAAATGAATGCCTTTTTCCAAGAAAAGTTCCAATCATCTACTGAACACCACAGTTTTCTATGATGTCGGAAAGACATGATACCGGAAAGGCTTTGACTAATCATCCTTCAACTAGATATAACTTGCAACGATGTTTTTGAAAGGTGGTACTCGTATGGTAGTTAAGTCTCTGTTTGGCTTTAAATTAAAAATACAGATTACAAACAAACTGAACTAAGAAACCGTAAAACTCAACAGTAAAAGACCAGTTATTGTACAGTGTTTAAAATAGATCAACTAATGTAGGTTAAAGGGGACAGAAATTGAACATGAGATCCATGAGAACTGGATTATCCCAAATACATAAAGCAGAACTACCCAAAAATTGGAGGAATAAACACTAGATTTGATTTGATACTAGCATAGTTAGAAAAGGACATCCGTAATCCCATTTAGAAGAAATCCAACAAAATGGAATGCCGAGAAGATGAACATAGGAAATGCAGATATTCAGTAAGATAAAAGATATCAGAACTCTAATACACGAAAAGCTGGAAAACTAAACAAGTATCACAATGCATTTTAATACAAAAACAGGAACATCTGTTCATGCTGAAAACAAATCCACATTATCGAAAAAACAACCAAGAGGGAGAGACGATGATACCTTGAGGAAAGCCCATGGATAGGGTCCAAAGAGCTCTTTGATTTATGGGTACTTAGAGAGAATCTGACACCTTCTTGAAGTGTGCGGTTCATCTGTGTATGACCAGAAGAAATTCTTCTTCTTCTTCTTCTTCTTCTTCTTCGGCAAGGTTGTAAACTTGTAACCCTTCTGAAATAACTGAAAAGTTAGTGGTTAAAGCAGGAAAATAGACAAGTTGTAGGGAAAGATTAAAGAACGCTGAAAGGTGGAAGCCTTCTTTTTTAATTCTATCCAACCATACGTAACCCTGGGTTAGCTGCACGTGATGGCTGTATTGAGAGCTGTTTAACCAATAATAATGTCCTACGTCATCCATGCTCCACAAGCAATCCAACATATGGCTGACATGGGAAGTTATTATTGGTTAAACGATCCCTAACACAGCCATCAGAGTGCAGCTAAATATCATGAATTATCAGGCCAGTGCAAGGAGAATGTTAGTTGGGCTCTTTTGGATTGGGATATAAATCCTGACCCACATGCAAAATCATGTGTCCAGTGCCTCTGCTGAAATAGTGAAGGAGGTGGTAACATTAGACCCATCACTCTTCACAGTTCACAGTTCACACTTCACAGAATTCGTAGGTCCAAAAATATCTTCCCGTCTGGCTCATCACTCGTCTCATATTCTAAGCATTCGTTTGTTCATTCAGGAAAGTTTCTTGTATTTTTAATCTAAGTATACTGAAAAGATACGATACTAAAAGAGCTTTAGCCAATCAAGGCATGCCTTCCCGGTATTCTAAGCATTCGTTTGGATTGGCCATTATTTTATGTTACCAGTTGATGCAATAAGTTTTTTCAATATCACGTCTTCCCGGTATCATAGTCGAATATAGCAAAGAAGTTCAAATCATTTAAAGCCTCAGAATGGGTGTTGTCATGTTGACAAACCAGGAATGGGTTGTCTCCCCCTCCTGTTACAAGTGTAAATATGGTTGAGCTCAGCATTCTTTAATCTTTCCCTACAGCTTGTCTATTTTCCTGCTTTAACCACTAAATTTTCAGTTATTTCGGAAGGATTACAACCTTGCCGAAGAAGAAGAAGAAGAGAGGAAGAGGACGGTCTGCAGAGGAAGAGGGAGATGGGTGGGGAACAGAGAGATGGAGTAATGGCAATGGATTTCTTCTGGTCATACACAGATGAACCGCATGCTTCAAGAAGGCGTCAGATTCTCTCTAAGTACCCACAAATCAAAGAGCTCTTTGGACCCGATCCATGGGCTTTCCTCAAGGTATCATCGTCTCTCCCTTTCTTGGTTGTTTTTTTGATAATGTGGATTTGTTTTCAGCATGATTAGATGTTCCTGCTTTTGTATTAAAATGCATTGTGATACTTGTTTGGTTTTCCATCTTTCTGTGTATTAGAATTCTGATATCTTTTATCTGACTGAATATCTTTATTTCCTAGGTTCATCTTCTCAGCATTCCATTTCGTTGGATTTCTTCTGAATGGGATTGCGGGTGTCCTTTTTTAATTTTGCTAGTATCAAATCAAATCTAGTGTTTATTCCTCCAATTTTTGGGTAGTTCTGTTTTATGTATTCGGGATGATCCTGTTCTCATGGATCTCATGTTCAATTTCCGTCCCCTTTAACCTACATTAATTGATCTATTTTAAACACTGTACAAGAACTGATCTTTTATTGTTGAGTTTTACGGTTTCTTAATTCAGTTTGTTTGCAATCTGTATTTTTAATTTAAAACCAAACAGAGACTTAACTACCATACGAGTACCTCCTTTTTTTGGCTCTCAATCAGCGGGGGGGAGGTAGTTATGGCCAGTCTCTATACGCATCAATTAGTAGTTTTCCTGTTTGGTCTCAACATGCTTTGTCATCTTCATGCTGATTTTTCCCCTGTCCTCAAAACAAGGAATAGATGCTTGATTGGTTTCATTTGTCCTAATCAAATTTTTGTTAATTGAACTTTCAAAAGCATTTTCTCCTTGCAAGTTGTATCTAGTTGAAGGGTGATTAGTCAAAGCCTTTCTGGTATCATGTCTTTCCAGCATCATAGAAAACTGTGGTCTTCAGTAGAAGATTGGAGCTTTACTTGGAAAAAGGCATTCATATTTTCTATGCATTTAAAATTGTGCCTTTTATTTTATTTTGTCTTGCTTTAATGTTTTTACTTCATATTCCTTATTCTGCCATGAAGAAAATCCGATTCCTAATCATTATTGTCAATATTGTTTTTTTACCATCTTGATTTTTTTTTGTTCTTCATTGCATTAGATAGAGTATTTGGAGCTAACATCTTTCTTGCCCTCATCTTTATGCAGCTTGTCTTTGCAACAAAATTGTTTTCTTGTGTTGGAATTATTAATTTCTATTACTTATGACATTTCTGTTGCCATTGCTGGTATATTACTTGTCATATTGGTGGTTATGCCATTTTATTGAGTCTAGCTCATAAATATTGTGATAAGCTTGCTAAAGCAAACTGAAAAATACCCTGGATGCATAGAAATGATATCAAGAGTTAAAAGCCTCTCCAAGGACTTGCAGCTATCATTTTAGTGGACTCCAAGAGCGGCAAATGGATTTGCAGACCAGCTAGCAAAACAAGGGGTAAACAGGGATCAGTGTTTTTGGGCTCAGTTGTAAGGATGAAAAATCATAAGTGATAGGTGGCAACTTAAATTTTAGTGGGGTAGCCGAGGCTACTCATAATCTGTAATTCATATTTCTTATCTTAATGAAATTCTTTTTACTGATAAAAAAGATATACAGGCTCTAGATAAATGGAGAGAGTGGAATGTGCAATTGTACATTGAAATGGCATTGGCATGTACATTTGTACATGCAAATAGAGGTACTTTCCAATTGCATTTACTGTACTGGTTGAGTGGCATGCACTTTGTACATGCAACAGGAAATACATGTATTAAAATTTGCCTAGTTATTTGGATGTGAAGCCAAGGCAATTATTGGCATTATGTAATAAAGATTAGTTAAGCTTTATTATATAATGCCAATTGAGTCTAGCTCATAGATGAAGATTAGTTAATACTTATAAAAAAAGATTAGTTAATGTAAGAAAAGAAAAGGTAAGGCAATCCATCTTTTTCAAACTCTTATCTTGTTGAAGAAGGAAAATATTTTCTACTAAAAAGGTAGGGAAATATTTGGAGGACAGAATATTTACATCAACTAGGAAACTCAGTTATTGTGCCTGAAGCTGGAACAAGTTTTGTTTCATCATGTCTTTATTAAAGAAGTAATTTTTGTTATTTCTTTTATTGTCGTAAATATCTCTTCAGTGATGTATAAAATCTCTGTTCGGAGCATCCTCACTTAATATTTTCTAAAGTTGCCAGGCATGAACTTGTATGTCAACCCAATGTTTAATCCTTCATTCATACTGGTACTTTTGTTGCATTTCTTTATTTCCTCACTACCTACTGCCCCAGTAGGGAATTATCTGATGCAAAAAGTTCTAGGGGAGGCTGAGAAGTACCGCCTACATTACTTGGTAGTGATGTTTAACATTTTAGCTACTTGGGCTTTTGATATAGTGGAATGGTGAAATATGATCCATGTAACCAACTCCATGTTCAGTTACCTAGTATTCCTTAGAATTTAAAAGGTCAATTTCAACATGAGAACTGTTTTTTATTCTTGTTTGGTGGTTCTACTGATTAGATATATAGAAAAGTTCTATATATCTTGTTCAGGCCTAAAAAATACTATTAGCTTTGGAATACTCTCTAGTTGAATGTCTAGATGAATGTTTTTTATTTTCTTTTTGGTTCTCTTGCTTAAGGGTTGGTCTTACAAGCTAAAGCACTTCTGATTCCTGCAATCAATAGTGTTCTTAATGCTATAACTTGATTGTGGCAGGAGAACTGTTGGATGTGGGATTTATGGTGCTCTGTTAACTATGTCTCTGATCAGTTTAGATTATTGATTCTTATCCTTGAAACTGTGGTGCCTGCAGATTACTGTGGTTGTTTTGCTTCAGCTATGGACTGCAATTTTGCTCTCCAACTGTAGCTGGTTAAAGATATTAACAGTAGCCTATTTTTTTGGGTCTTTTCTTAATCACAATCTCTTCTTAGCCATCCATGAGCTCAGTCACAACCTTGCCTTCTTGACCCCAACCTACAACCGTTGGCTAGGGATTTTTGCAAACTTCCCCATAGGTGTCCCCATGTCTATCACCTTCCAAAAATACCACTTAGAACACCACCGCTTTCAAGGTGTCGATGGTATTGATATGGACATCCCCAGCCATGTTGAGGCTCATCTTGTTACCAATGTCTTCACCAAGTCATTATGGGTCATCTTCCAGCTCTTCTTCTACGCTTTGCGGCCAATCTTTCTCAATCCAAAGCCCCCTGGTTCATGGGAGTTCACTAACTTGGTGATCCAGCTCACTCTCGACGCTGTGATGGTGTATTTCTGGGGTTGGAAGTCTTTTGGTTACATGATCCTCTCCACATTTGTTGGAGGAGGGATGCACCCAATGGCAGGCCACTTCATTTCAGAGCATTATGTTTTCAATCCTGACCAGGAGACTTATTCATACTACGGACCTTTGAACCTGCTTACTTGGAGTGTTGGGTACCACAATGAGCACCATGATTTCCCAAGGATTCCTGGGAGCAAGCTCCACAAGGTGAAGGAAATTGCGCCTGAGTTTTATGAAGATTTTAAGTCATATAGATCTTGGAGCCAGGTAATTTACATGTACGTCATGGACCGGACCGTAGGACCATTTAGCAGGATGAAGAGAAAAAGGTCCAAGAGTGATGGTGCTGTCAAGAAAGATAACTAGGTGTTCCCTTTATTTGGTCTTTTTTTTTTCATGTACTGTATTTAGCCCCTGACCTCTGGGGGGTTTTTGCTTCCGGTATTCATTTTTCGTTGTAATATTCTTTGTAACGTTACAATTTTACTATCTGGTTTTAGACTGAGGAATGGGCGATGTTAATTTTTGATAAACATTGTCCAACGAACCCTTTAAGTTGTCATCTGATGTACGATTACACCGGTCAGAACGGACTGGGGTGTACAGAACACCGGTGGGTTCATTCTTGATTGATTTTTATTAGGCCTCGTTGGTTATGTGGAGGTCATTTATACGTGTATTTGGCCAAGTGCATTTCTTTTTTGTTAAATTTATCTAAGTAAATGAAGTTTTTCAATTTTTTCATGTTTTTTTACTGCATTTATATTCACGACGAAGTGGTTAATTTTTTCATCTTTTTCCATTTTTACCCTTGGATTTAAGTTCATGTTTTTTTGGATTATATTGTTTTAATGGGAATTTTTGACAGATTGTATTTTGAGCATTTGTTCTCTACAACTTTTCCAAAGGTAATACTTCCCTGGATAAGTAATACCCGAGAAAAACATCTTATAGGTCCCAGCCAAATTCTTAAAAAGAACATGGGAGAGTCGGTCAGTGGCATCCATTGACGACTTCCCCCCTCTCCAATAGTCTGGGTAATGAATGGGGCCTTAGAAAGTGTGAATATTTAAAAAAATAAAATACAAGGTTTTGCAATTTGCACTATACAAATTTATATTTTTATTCTTCCCAAACTGGTTGTAAAGTTGAATTTGAAAAAAAGAATACAAATACAAATACATACAAAATAATATAAAATATAAGATTTTGATTTTTACACTCTATTTTTACTCCCAAACTCAGCCTAAATGACCTATTACGTGTAAAGCAACAAACCACATTGATTTCATTATGCTGCAAGGAAGAAAACGGTGGTCCAAAATGTTACATCCAACTCCGACAAGCATCATCATGATAATGTGAGAATCTTGAGAGATTATTAAGCAATGGGAGGGAGCTATTCAAGCATTGCCATAAAAACATGTGGATTCTCTGTGGAATATGTTTCACATGCCAAAATTCCTTCCATGACATCCCATCGACAGCCATCTGTTGATGTGAAGAACCGAACTCTTGTAGAGCATAAAAAAGTATCCGAGTTTTCATCCAAGTGAGGGTTTCACATCTGCACCTCAGAGAACATACCCCACAAACACCCCACAGCACATCTCAATCGTGTATTGGGAAATGTTCTTAATGCAAAACCAGCACATCCAAATGACAACTTTCATGAACTCCCAAATGACGGAGTCAGTAGCATTAACCCCGCATGGAGCATGGTAGTCGGATAGATAGAATTCTCTCAGTGACCATTGGTTGAAAACGACTCAATACCTGATTATGCTTATGGCTATGAAGTATGAAGCAATACAAGGGGATTGCGTGATAACAATTCATTTTTGTATCATAAATTTCTACATTCTAGCATTTGCCTTAAAAAATATGCAAAGAGTATGGAAAAGGCAATTATAAAAGATGTATACGTGAAAAAATTAAGATAGACGCCAATAAACCCTTTAAAACACATCAATAACAATAAATGCAAGTTTCATATAACTATTATTAAATTATTTACAAATATAATTTAATGGTTTATAACTTTATATAAACTCTGAAACATTGGAATACAATTGATAACTATTGAAAAATGATGAAAGAAAGTAGAATATATCTATATTATATAAAGTGGATACTTGCTTTTGTTTTTAGGGTAAATTTCTTAAACTATCCTTATGGCTTAGTTAATTGACTAACTCTACCCTTACTGTTTACATATTGTCTTAAAGTATCTCCAAGTTTTCTGACAATTATATAAAACCTCCCCTACCATTAATTTTCCGTCACACTCCATCGCATGTGACATCTAGGGGTGCAAATGGATCAGATTATGATCCGATCCGGTCCAAGATCCGATCCTATTTGGTCGAATTCAGATCACCCTTGATCGGATCTTCGGATCGGATCCTATGATCCGATGAGAAATCGGATATGATTCAGATCATCCCTTATCCTATCCGATGTGTTATATATTTATAAATATTTATATGTTATTTATTTATTTATAAATATATTATTTATGTTGTATTTTTATAAATTTATTATATTATTTATTGATTATAAAAAACATATATATATATATATATATATGATGAAAATAATTAAAAAATACTTGTATTTTTTGTTTTTTCTTTATTTAAATTGGTATATTTTATTTTTCTTTAATAATTTATTAATTAAAAAAAAACAAGTTGGATCAATAAAGATCTAAAGATCCGATAAGATTCGAATTCAAATAAAATCCGATCGGATCTGACATGAACAATGTCAAATCGGATTTGAATATACCCTGATTCGAATCTGATTCGATCCGTTTGCATCCCTAGTGACATCATGTGACTTATATTTTTCAAAAAATTCTAAAATACCCTCTCATTTTAAAAATTGGAATGTAAAAGTAGAGGAATGCTTGGGTCGGAAAGCGATGACTACTCACACAATGGCAGCTCATGGATGTATCGGCGACATCCATTTTCTCGAGTTCCAGTCATTCAAGAGAGATGTCCGATTGACATCCATGGTTTCAGCGGCTTTGCCCATTCCCAGCTGCAACAAGGACCAACCCATCTCTCGTCTCTCATCTTCTCTCTTCCTTTTTCTCTCCATCCACTTTGTCGATGAGGATCAAAACGCAGCGGCTCTGATCTCCCCCTTGCAGGAGACAACCACCACCACCTTCATCCACCCTCCGGTTCAGCACTCAGTCCACCCCCTCCAACGACCCAAGCTAGAGGATTGCCAATGCTCCGATCTGCAACTCACCATGACACATTCCAATCTGCACCTCCGATTAAGTAACACTCCTTCAATATCTTTTTCTTTATTCTTTTTAGATTTTTCAGGAACAGGGATAGGCTACAAATTGTTGAAACCTTTTCGAGATCTTGCTCTTAGTGCCATGGAATCATCTAAGCAAGAGAGCAACTTGGCTCACATAATGGATTCCAATAGAGGGCTGCGAAGACACCGATAGCTTGCTTGTGTTCCCTTCTCATAACTATGAATAGGGGGAATACTCTTTTTCCAGTGGGAGGTAGAGTAACATGAATCCAACACCCCAGCAGCACTCAATGGAAGCTGCGTGTCACGAGCCTGCACTTGGGATCTCGTGGTAGGACGTGGGAGCTGGAGAACTTGACTAAGAAGTGGTACTGGTAGTGAAGAGGAATACTTCTTCCTATTTTGACAGAGAGCTTAGTCACGTTGGATTAATTCGAGAAAACCCAGACCTAAACTAACTTTTGTATTGAGAGAGAAAAAATTAGATATGCTTCCTTGAAAATAGTCTATTACAACGAGTAAATGGGAGTCAAAACTCCTTGTTACGAGCAATTATTGACAGAAAAAATAAGAGATAAAGACTAAATGATAACAACAACAACAAAAAAAAAGTGAGAACAACTTAAATAAAAAAGAGTCCTGCTCCTAGTCTTGCTCTTATATTCTCAATGGGTTCCTGACATCTCCCTCCCGGCCCGGCCCGGCCCCTTGAGAAAGTCCATGTCCTCATGGGCCATTTCTGGAAATTGCCGTAACAACCAATTCAAATCCTCCCAATTTGCATCGGCAGGGGACTGATTTTTCCAGTGAACTAAGGCTTGGTGGACCTCATGTTGGATGTGACGATCAAGTATTGCTTGAGGCTCAAGAAGTGGAGCTTCGGGAGTTTCTAGGTAAGCCGGTATTTTATGCTGCTGGGCCCAATGTGTTTCTTCAATAGGGAAACATGAAAAATGGGGTGAATACGAGAGCCTTTAGGAAGTTCCAACTGATACTCCACTGGGCCCACTCGACTCAACCTTGAATGGCCCATAGAAGCATGGTGCCAGCTTAAGATTTCTTCTAGTGGCTACTGAAATTTGTCGGTGGGACTGCAATTTGAGGTAAGCCATCTCTCCTACAGTAAATTCTACTTCCCGGTGATGTAAATCATAGATGCGCTTCATGCGAACTTGATGAGCTTTTCTCATATGGACCTGTAGCTGTCTAACCACTTGATCCCGATCCGTCAAGGCTTTTTCTATTGCTTTAGGTTTGGTAGTTCCCGGTACATATGGTATGAGAGAAGGTGGTGGGCTACCGTAAACTGACTCGTATGGGGTTGTCTTGATGGTAGAGTGCCAACTTGTGTTGTAGCAGAATTGGGCCCATGATAGCCATTTGCACCAGATCTTGGGCTGAGAGCCCACAAAGCACCACAAATACATCACTAAGGTGCGGTTAGTAGCTTCCGTTTGTCCATCCGTCTGAGGATGGTAGGCAGAACTAAGGTTGAAGTGAGTACCTTGCAGCTGAAACAGCTCCTGCCAAAAAATGCTGGCCAATGTCGGGTCCCGGTCACTGACTATAGATTTGGGCATACCATATAATTTAAAGATGTTGTCGATGAAGATCTGGGCAACTCCTTGGGCAGTGTATGGATGGCTGAGGGCAATAAAGTGTACAAATTTACTAAGCCGGTCAACTATCACAAAAATGACAGATTTTCCATGGCAAAGAGGTAATCCCTCAATGAAATCCATGGAGATATCACTCCATATGAGGGAAGGAACAGGTAATGGGTGTAAAAACCCAGCTGATGTGCTTGCTCCCCTTTCACACGTTGGCATGTTTCACAAGATTTAATATACTCTTTGACATGGCGTTTCATGCATTTCCAATAGAAAGTGTTTCGTAATCTGTGGATGGTTTTCAAGTAGCCTTCATGGGTAGCATTATGGTATTGGGCCAAGATGTCTGGAATTAATTCAGATCCCTCCTCCAACTAAATCCTACCCTTAAAAATGTAGTAATCCATCCATATGGTCCCAGGGGTCCACTGATTCCCCTGTCTCAAGTAAGAGTCCTATTCCTAATCTTGCTCATATATTCTCGATGCTTGACCACATCCCAGTCAGTCATGGTGGGTTTGTGACACTGTGATTAGATTTGGGCCTATGACCGAACACTGTTCATCACATGGGGCCCGATCACCTGGGATAGTAGCAAGTTGCACCAATCTCCAGTTACAACAATACTCAGTGGCTGGTGGAAGAAACAACATGGTAGCGATGGAAGTGGACAAGGGACGAGAGAGCAAAACAAAGGGAGGATTCGAGGAAGGAATAGATGTGAGGATTTGAGGAGCAAAACAGAGGGATGGTTTGAGGATTTGAGGAGCAGCAGATGATTGATGGTGGAAGAAACAATAACGACAACGACAACGA